TGGTATGCTCTAACTCAATCGTCATTTCAACACTACCGTGACAAAATTAAATTGTCAAATGCAGCTGCAGGAAGGTGGGTGGATAACATTCCATTGGAGAAGTGGACAAGGGCATTTGACGGAGTATGTTGATGGGGCCACATGACAACAAATCTTGTGGAATCCATGAATAACGTCTTCAAAGGAATTAGAAATCTACTAATAACCGCATTGGTGAGAACAACCTATTTTAGGTTGGCATTACTCTTCTCAACTAGAGGCGAAAGATGGAGTGTTGTGTTAATGTCGGGTCAATTATTCAGTGAATGCTGCATGAAAGTGATGAAAGAGGAAACTATCAAAGGTAGCACACATGCGGTTACAATTTTTGACCGTCATAGACAAACTTTCAGTGTACATGAAACAATGGACCACAATGAGGGGATGCCAAGTTTATCCTATGCTGTCAAACTAAATAGAAGTTGGTGCGACTGTGGCAAGTTCTAGGCTTTCAGTGTACCTTTCTCCCATGTCATTGTGGCATGCGCATATACACGTTAGGACACTTACAACCATCTATGCGATATTTACAAGACCATTAACATTATGAATGTCCACAACGAAAGCTTCATAGTGCTGGTAATAGAGGGACATTGACCTCCATATCAAGGGGACATAGTTTGCCACAACGATTAGTTGCGAAGAAAGAAAAAAGGTTGCCCAAATAAAACGTGTATTAGAACCGAAATGGATATGGTTGATAAAATGATAAGATTATGTAGTATATGTCGTCAGCCCTGACACAATCGGAAAAATTATCCTAGTGTCGAAGCAACCTGCATCATAATTTATTTTTTCCTTTCAATTTTTGTAATCTTAGATTTTGATATATTAATAAATTTTTGTTACAACAATGTTAATACAAAACAACACACCAACTTAAGCACACTTTAAAACAACAACACAAACAACAAATACAAGACTTAAAACATAACACCACAACATATCTAAAAGATGACAACAATCAAAACAATTTCATTTGGTGTAGACATCATATCCCTAACACCTCTGTCATCTCTAACTCGCACCCACATTCGTTGCATATCATTGTTTTCATCTGCAATTGATATGTAAGAGACAAGTCTCTCGATACTTCTAATTTTTTATCCATCAGTAATCTCTCCGTCTAACCGACTTTTCAAAATCCTTTTAAAATGCTCGAAACTTTGGAGGTTCCAAAAAAACATTTTCACCAGAGGCTTCGTTGCATAATAAATTACATGTCCGTTTCTTTTAACGATCATGATAGAACTACTGATAAAGAAAAAAGATTATGATAAGAGGCGTGGTGTTGAAATGGTAAAAAGCACATATATTTATACTAAAAAAAACAAACACACACTAGTGGCAAACTAATTGGCGCCATCACTATAACTTTATAAATAAACGCCAATTAGATTGACAACACTAGGTGCAGTTTCCAATCTAATTAACACTTTTTCTTAATAATTAAGTTCAATCATTAATTGATTTGACCCCAATGTTCCGGCGTTTTTTTTATAAAAATGTGATAATTTAGAAAATTATTTAAAATGTGGATTATTTTAAAATTTAAAAAAAAAACTGAGTTATCTATAACTATATATAAAGGGGATACAACTTTTTGGTGTGACTTATTTTTGTTCCAAAATTACCCTTCATCTATTTTATCAACAAGAAAATAGTTTAATTTAAAATCTTGAGTGGTTAATAACTTTTGTTGGTTACCAATTGAAAAAGTAACTTCCATCTCTCACAAAAAATATCTCACACCTATAACTTCCATTAACGGTTAAGTGGTGACAGAAGTTAAAAATTCTCTTCTATTTTTTTTATGTAAATTTCATCTCTTTCTCATTGAAGATACTTTTTTTTAAAATTTTTTTCCATTCTATAATATTTTTATTTATTCAATTTTAATTAGTGATGTTTTTATTTTTGAAAAATAGATGAAACTTATTCCAGTCAAGATCGCGCCATCACCCCCGGTAGAAGAATTCGTTCTTATTATGACTGAAAATTGATTGTTGTATGTAGATTTTTTTTGTAATTGTTTTTATAGTAATAGTTTTTGTATGACTTTTGCAATTGAGTCTCTTTTAGAATTTTACCAGTTACGAAACTTTTCTTTTTTTCAAAGCAGAGTTATTAACTATGGAGTAAAAAAAAATCATGTGATACTTGCAAAAATTTCATACTCTAAATACAATAAAATTCAAATATTTAATGCAACCACAATGGATATGAGTGGTTTTCTACTGCACTATTATTTTCTTACAAAAATTATATCTTACTTTTGTTGCAAAACATTATTCATTAATACTATAGTTTTAACTTTTTGCTTTTGTTATTATTATGTTTTATTTCTTAATGATACTTATTTGTATTTTGTGAGTATAAACACATCATAAAATATGTAATTTAGATTTTCATAATACAAACAATTATTTCATCAGTATTATTTTTTGAAATTGCGTGGTTTTTAATGATGTTAGTTCTTTTTGTTTTAAATTTTTATTTATATCTTACTTTTGATTTGCTATTTGCTATTGTAACTATCTATTTGTGTGGTAATTTAATTATGATTTGGAGATGGTTTGTGTTTTTTTCATATTAAAAAATCATTAATTTGGTTAACATTATTTGACATATAGAATAAAAGGAGAGATGAGAAGACGATATAAGAGTGTTACATATCAATTTTTCATATTAACATTTTTTTCGTTGAATTTTTTAATGAGTACACACATAAAAATATAAATGAATAAAAAATTCAACAAATTATTATCATCTCATTTTTAGATCTACATTTCATTTTTTAATCCATCATCTCATTTCTCTTCTCTTTTCTTTTTGAAATATTATGCATGACTTTAACGGAAGGTTATAATATAACGGTATAAAATGAAATCTTTTTGAAAATCTTTCATAAACTTAATTGGTATACACAATTTTAATATTTCGTACAATGTTAACTTCCATATGTACTATAGAAATAAAAATCATTTCCTCAAAAAATTATGTATCTTGATAAAACAATTTTAAAAATATTGTCACATTTATTAATACTTAATATATTGTTCAAATATATAATGACAGTTGCAAAAATATATAATTTTTATTATTTTATCTTTTATGTCTATATGTGTGACCTTGCTATTGAACAAAACTTAAAGTATGAAAAAATAAAATAAAAATATTAACAAAAAAATTTATTGTGAATTATTGAAAATTTGAAACACTGACCATTCACTTTCTTAAATTAGTTAAATTTTGTTATTAATTTTTATTTATGATTTTTATTTTTGATGTTATAGAGAGATGCACAATAAATGTCATATTACTTACAAATTTAATTTGAAAAATAATTTAACTTTTAATTAATTAAATAAATGACATTTTAAAATTTCTTACAAACATAAGGATGCATATCAGAAAATTTAGTATTCAAATAATTTAAATTTAAATCATTACTTAAATGAAAAAAATATTCGTTTATATTTTGACGTGCATGCTCATTAAAAAAAAAGACAAGCACGAGAAGAGTCGTCTGTGGAGCATACATGTTCGCAGGGGATGTAGGTGCTCTTCAGTTTACTCTACAAACTCCTCTCTAAACATTTTCATCAAATTTATAAGAGAGGGAGAGAGGGAAGGGGGAGAGAGGAATGCGTATTACAAAGTTTACTATACAAATAATTTAAATTAAAATCAAAATTACATAAAAAATATACATTCGTATTCTGACGCGTGTATCGTGCCCGTTTGGACGCTATCAAGACTATGTGCCACAAGGTAATACCTGAGAGATGTTCCTCCTCAGGTATTACCTTTCGTATTAATGCACATAAATTAACATAGTTAACCAATAAAAAGATGTAATAAAACCTGAGAGATCAAAGACAACAAATGCTCCACACACGATTAAAGAAATAAATAAATTCAAATATTAATTTTAAAGATTTATTTCTAATCCACCTAGGCCATATCAAAAATTGAAATCTGCGGGTTAAGATGGTTCCCATTGAGTAAGCACAACACAAGGAGATTCATTCAAAACATGTGACTTATTTAAATGTATTTCTTTGTTGATATCCGCAATTCTGAAAAGCATTTCATAAGTCACATGTGAAAGCATTTCTTTGATCTGGCCTGAGCGAACTCACTTATACAGAGACACTCTTAGAAGGATGTTAAAGTCACAATGCTCAACATGTGACTGGATTGTGTTTTGAAAGTGTAAATTGTAGGTTTTTTTTGTTTATAAGTTGATTATCATATTTTGACTGGACTGTGTAGGCTTCTATAAGCCCTTTATCTTGGCTTGATTTCAGCGCCTTTTTTTTATTGTACCTGTGCTTTTTTTTTAACGTGAGTGTGTAACGAGCTTTGTAGCCTGCGGTGAGTAATATGAACGATCGAACAAGATGCATAGACAATACAATAGTCTTCCAATTAATCTTTTGGTGACAACTTACATATGGTGAGATGTCCAATCAATTCATTTTATGATGGAATATATATAAACTCGCCTAGACTCGGATAGTTCTTAATTCTCAAGATAAAGATCTCAGTTCTTAATCCTCATATTTGTGATGATATCTCTCTTGTGCCCGTCTGTCCGCTTATTTTTCTATGTTGTGCACATTAAGAAAATATGCAAGTAACTTCACACATAATATACACACGTTTATTTTTCTATACTGTGCGCATTAAAAAAAGCGGACAGACGGACACGAGAGTTTCCGTCTGAACGCTAGTTTAAATAAAAAATTCAATAAAAAACAGACCAAAATAATTGAACAACAAATTGTACCAAAAAAAATTGAATAAATAACATTAGAAATCAAATTTATCGAAAAATAAAAAAGAAAAAGAAAAACATTAGAAATCAAAATTTCTTTTCTAGTAAAAAAAACACAAACACACACCATGCGAGTTCTGAAAAAAAAAACTAGATTAGGGATTTTGTGAAAACGAAGATGGAGCAGCAACAAGAAACCTTCGAAAGCTTCCTAACATGGACATCACAGCTTGGAATTTCAGACTCAACAACCACCCACCAATCTCATTCCTCTCTGGGCCATTCTCTATGCGTTTCCATCTTTCCTAACTCTGGCGGGTACACCATGAAAACTTTGCATTTTATGTATTTTCTTTATTACATTGAAAAACCCTTTTTTTCCCATGATTTGTTTTCTGGGTGATTTTTCATAGGGTAGTGATAGTAATTCTGTAAATGTTGATGCTTTGGACTTGTTGATGTTAACAAGTTTGACCCTTTTTATTGTATTGTTTGGAGAATTCTGCAGTAGAGGTTTGGGTGCTGTGAGAGATCTTAGGAGAGGAGAACTTATTCTGAGAGTTCCAAAATCTGCTTTAATGACTACAGATAGTGTAATCATGGATGATAAAAAGCTCTCCGTTGCTGTCAATAGACACTCTTCTCTCTCATCAGTTCAGGTTTTTGTTCTTAACTGTTCTTAATTGAGGTAGTTCTGTTAATGGTTTTGTTTAAATGGTTGTAACTGTTTTTCCTACATTGTAATTGCTCAATTTGATCCCTGAAATTGTAGGACTATATAAACATAACCTTCTGCATTAACAATATTCCAAGATTTTCCGTGAAATTGCATAATGTCAAGTAGATTTGTCCATCTGATATCTCTCGTTATTCGTAGACTTTCTAATATCTTTATGTTGGTAATGTTAGAGATGCATTTGAAACTAAGTGAATAATCTTATGGATGCATTTGATTAACTTGTGACAATGGATTAAGGCAGTAGTTTTTGTGCGAATCATCATTTTAATTCTTGAAATTGTAGGAAATAGGCGTTTTGGTTCCTGAAATTATAGAATGATAATTGAAATTGAAAATTTTGTGATCACATTAGTCCCTTTGGGTTGGTCAATTTAGTCCTTGAAATTGCCTTGAAGAGTCCAATGCGATTGATGTTTTTCATTTAGTGATCATTTCAAAATTTTGAAAATTTCAGTCAAGAATCAAATTGTCGGTAGCCTACAAATTTTAGAGACTAAATTGATGAGATACTCTTAGGTTTTATTAATTTCTTTTTCTTTTCTTTTTTAAAGAGAGTATCGGGGTATCACTTATAGTAGAAAAATGGTAGAAAATAGGCTTAGGTGGTTTGGGCATGTAGAGAGAAGACATGTAGATTTTGTGGTAAGGAGGGTAGATCAGATGAAGAGAATGTAACTTGTAAATGCGCCTAAGAAGGGGGTGAATTAGGTTCTGAAAATTTATTTGCAATCTTTTACGGTTCTTGGTTCTTTTTCCGGTTATGATATTAATGACTTGAAAGTAAAAGCAGGAAAGAAAAAGAGACCCAAGGGATTTATAGTGGTTCCCCTCACACTCCGAGAGTACTCCACTCCCCTTTCAACACGAAAGGGATTTCACTATAGTTTAGAATTATTGCACAGCTTAATCACACCAATGGTGATGCCTACAATCTAATCTATAGGTAATCCAAGTGAATGAAGAACAATCCTCTTCAAACACTTCACTTGTTTCCAACAATCCTGGATAACAAGGTAATACAAAAAAATGATTTTTGAGATAAGTTTGAAATCTTTGATAGAATGTTGTTATCAATCTTCACGATCGATCTTCTTCTTGAAACAAAAATTACTCAAACAAATATAGAAGTGTTCTTGTGAAAGGAAGCTGTGATAGTGTGAAAATTTATTCAAGGGCTTCTTTCAAAAATGGTTTTGAACACTTAAAATGAAAATTGGAAGGATGAAGAAAATGAGTAATTTGAATGATTTTGTTTCTTGAAGGTAAATTGGAATTTCAAAATTGATAGCAATTTATCCTGATAAAAAAACCTTTCCAAAAGGGTGTGATTTTGTGCAGCAAAAACAGCCAGAAATACAAATGGTAACCAATGCACATTTTCATGAAAAGCTGCCATTTTTGCTTGCTGGTTCAATGTTAATCCATTAACCAAATGGATTAATTGGTTAACACCTTTCAACGTTCAAAAATATTCAAATTTTACACATGTTAATCGGTTAACCATATAGGTTAATCGGTTAACACTGTAACAAAATCACAAAATAATTAATTTTGAAGTGTGTTAATCGGTTAACGAATGTGTTAATCGATTAACACTGAAAGTTTTTCAAAAAATAATTAATTTTAATAAGAATGAGTATTTAACAATAGTTTTAAAAGTGTTAATGGTATAAGTGAAGTGAAAAGTGATTTTATAAACACTTGTATAAATATTCAAGTAATATTTGTTATACCGTTGCTTTAAGCATCATCACTTGAAGCTTGTAATGGAAGCATTGATCCATAGTAGACATATGCGAGAGTACCATCTTGATCTTTGATGTCCTTGTTTGATTGCTTGATTCTCTTACTTTTTGCGTAGAATATCTTGCATACAAAGCTTGTTCTAGTTGTCCTCATCAAAACATTAAAGACCTTGAAGCTTGCCAACTAGTGGTAGGGAAAAACCTAGAAAGACTATAGAGAAGATTCTAAGAAAGGTTTCGAGATTAACGATTTGGATAGAAGAATGGTCTTAGATAGAACGTTATGACAAAAGTTGATCCATGTAGCTGATCTCACTTAGTGGGATAAGGCTTGGTTGTTGTTGTATGTTTTTTATGTCGGCTATGTTGTTAAATTTTAGGAATAAATAGATAAAGGACATGAGAAAGCAGTGAGGGGATAGTTATTGAGTGGCTGTGAGAAGAAGAAACTAAGCTCCCGATTTTTTGGAAGGGAGAGACCAAGGTCTCAAATTTCTTGGATATGAATTGTCTTGTAGCAACTTTTTCCTTAGTTTATATGTGAATTATTCATTCTCTATGGTGTGTGTAATACCGTTTCTGTGTTTAACCTGTTCCACCATTAATAAAAGTCAGTTTCTAAAACTAAATTGTACTTTGGCACCACATTCTAACAATATAGCACGTCTTTTATTTTTTTACTTATTTCCAAGCTTGTTTACATTGCAGATATTGACTGTTTGCTTGTTATGCGAAGTCGGTAAAGGAAAGACTTCAAGGTGGCATCCTTACCTCGTCCATTTACCACAAAGTTACGACTTGCTAGCCATGTTTGGTGAATTTGAGAAACAAGCACTGCAAGTTCAGTTTCTGTTAGAAATTTTTAGTTTATCTAATTAGGTTAGGTTATATTGTCTCGGCTGATGATATTTATCTGTATTTGATACTTACTTTATGTTATAAATAAATCATCTTGATGTTTTGGTTTTCAGGTGGATGAAGCTATTTGGGTCACAGAAAAAGCTGTACAAAAAGCCAAATCAGAATGGAAAGAAGCTCAGGCTTTGATGGAAGATCTCATGTTTAAGCCTCAGCTTTTAACATTTAAGGCTTGGGTTTGGGCTGCGTCAACGGTTAGAAACTTTTTTTTTTATTTTTGCTTTGTACATTAGATGAACACATTACATCAGAACTCACACTCTTGCTTTATCATTTAATAACATATAAACTCAAAAAACAGATATCTTCTCGGACGCTGCATATACCATGGGATGAAGCTGGTTGTTTGTGTCCTATCGGCGACTTGTTTAATTATGATGCGCCTGGAGAGGACCTATCTGGTATTGAAGACATAGTGGTAGACGAAGAGCAGATGGATTTTCATTCTCAGAGACTAACAGACGGCGGGTTTGATGAAGATGCTAATGCATATTGCCTATATGCTAGGGAAAATTACAAGAAAGGCGATCAGGTGGTACACAATTCTTGGAAATTTTATCGTAACTGTTGGGTATACATAACCAATTTGGAATGTGAATATAACCGATTTCCTTTTCTCCAGGTTCTATTATGCTATGGAACATACACAAATTTGGAGCTTCTAGAACACTATGGATTTCTCTTGCAAGAAAATTCAAATGACAAAATTTTCATCCCTTTGGAACCTGCTATGTACACTTCTACTTCATGGTCTAAGGATTCACTCTATATCCATCATAACGGGAAGCCTTCATTTGCGCTACTAGCTGCATTACGTTTGTGGGCAACCCCTCATACTAAGAGAAGGTCCGTTGGCCATCTTGCATACTCTGGTTCCCAACTGTCTACTGCCAATGAAACTATCATTATGAAATGGTTGTCGAAAACATGTGACACCGTCTTAAAGAACTTACCAACATCTATTGAAGACGACACCATACTCGCAAATGCATTGGATAGTAATCAAAACTTTTTAACATTCATAGAGATTACAAAACTTATGTCTTCCAGGGATGAAGTATATAACTTCTTAGAAGCTCATAATATATCGGATCCGCTTAGTTTTAGTGATGTATTTTTATCGAAAAGAGGGAGAAGGTCAATGGAGAGGTGGAAATTAGCTGTCTTATGGAGGCTCAGGTATAAGAAAGTCCTTGTTGATTGTATATCTTATTGCAATGGAATATTGGATTCTCTCTTGAGATAATGCTATATCATTGATTGCTTGCAATAAAATAAGTTTTTTACTTGCTACAAGGTTATGAACACGAATTACATAAAAGGTTTCAACAGGGAGGTTGATCTTATATATATATATGTTATGTTTGGATGAAATCACGTTCTATTACTTTTCTTTATATTTTGTACCTTTAATTTTGGCAAAATGAAATCTTTTGTCTATTCCATCATGAAACTTTATTCTAGTTTGTTACATACATAATTTATTTTATATCTAAAAAAATAGCTTAAATAAGATAACCAACCGTTTTTTTATAAAATTTATATAGGCAAATGAGATGTTCTCCAATAAAAACAAAAGTTTATAACATTAAAAATGAATTAAAGAAAAAAACTGTAATTAATATTTTACAAAACAAGACATACTTGGCAGACCAAAACCCCAATTCTGAAGCTGCAGCAATGTCCAGTATCTCTAGTATCTCAGTGAGCGAGTTTTCTTTAAAATCTTGTTAAATCTTCATCACAACTTTGATTTTTCTGATTTTCGATTATGTCTTTAATTCAACTCAGTTAACCTATGTGGTCAATAGAGCCTGCAATAAGCTACACACTACGCCATAGTTTTAAATTACGTTTCCGTTGTGGTCATTGTGGTGGCTGGAATGTAATTGTGGTGTTATTATACATAACTGCAACTGCAATATTGTGGACAACATCTGTAACCGTCTTAGGTAGCCACGCGCTATGCCACTTAAGCGCAACATGAAACTCTACGGAGTTGGGGTTTTGGATAGCGGGCTAGCTGTGGCGCCGTCTTAAGCAGCCAATTAGCTGTCTAAGCGGCAGCTCTTACAAAAATCTGGATATGACATCAACTTTATAGCTCTTCTCTTCGTTTGTTTTGGACTTTTTCCGAATATGTACTCGTCTTCTCGTTATTTCACCTCCAAAACAACTTTGTGTCTCATCTTATGCGGCTTTGTAGGCAGAGGAACAAATGGCAACCAAGCTTCTCCTATAGAGACAAAACTCATAGGCAAATAAATTAAATGATGCATAACGAACGGGGACTGTTTAAATAGTCACTTGCATTTATTTTCAATGTTTAGATTAGTTTTTTTAAGGCTGAGATGCTTTTATTTATGTATTTTACGTTGGATAATGAACTTTGATTAATAAATTATGAATGTCTAATGTCTTCAATTTAGATGCTATTGTTTAGTTTCTATAAGTGTCTGGTGCAAACTTGTTGTATTGTTTCTCTAAACCTTGATATAGCATTCACACTCACACAGCTAACAGTTATACCCGCTATTGGGTTTTGAGACACGCTGCAGTTCCCCATTGAATGCATGGATTTTGCTAAGAAATTTTTTTTAGATGATTAGATTTATATTGGTGATACTTTATCTTATTCAAGCAAATGGTTCAAAGTGATTTTATGATTAACTTTTGTGTTGCAATTCAGTGTAAAAATGGTCATATTGTTTGCTCAACCTGCTGTGATAAACTCGGGAGCAAGTGTGACAAGTGCTCAAAACAAATTAGATTAAAACGTTGTAGAGAATTTGAGGATCTATTGCAATCTATCAAGTTTCCATGTCCGAATACAAAAATATGGTTGCAGGGAGACAATTGGTTACAATGAAAGGAGAAAGCATGGAGAAGAATGCAACTATATGCCATGTTATTGTCCCTTTTCAGGTTGTGATTTGGTTGCCTCATTAGAAGTGTTGTCCAACCATTTCAACCGTGAACACTGCGATACTCTAATCAAATTTTCTTATGGCCGCCCCTTCATTGTCTCCTAGAAATCTAGTGACGTAACCGTGGTTCTCCAAGAGGAAAATGATGGCAGACTATTTACTCTCAATAATAGTACTATCATGAGAATGGGAAATGCAGTCAATAGTAGCTGCATTGTTCCTAAATCTTCTTCAGAGGCTGGATATAGTTATTATATATCGGCTAATTCTAAGTTTGGCATGCTGAAGTTACATTATCTTCCTAAGAATGTCCAACATACTACTTTACCAATTCATTCATCAGCGTTCCTTCTGATTCCATTTTGTTATTTTAGTTCTTCGGAACCTCTCAAGCTAGAAATTTGCATAACCCCCAAGGTACTTCCTATCTTCATTTTTTCATTACTTTTCATAACAAGTCTTCAACTACTTGACTTGTGCTTTTTCTGTTTAGTTTGCTTGAGCTGTGTAATGATCTTTTCGTGGGTATGATTTCTGCAGCTAAAGAAATAGATTTAGTTTTCAACATTAGCTGAAATTGCTGAGACTTCTGTTGCAGATAGATCCAATGACTCATGTAGTATAGTGTTAATATTGCAGATATAGATGTAATGACTCCTGTAGTAAGTATCCTGATCTATAAGAGTGAAGTAATTTGAATCGACTCGCTACGATTAAAGAAAAGTGGCGAATATAAAAGAGTTATGTATGATACTGTGAGTGACGTGATTTACATAGTTGAGTTATAAAATGCTTTTTTGTTCAAGCAAGAGTATGGCATGGTTACACAAGTTTTTTCTTAGCTAGGGCGAGTGAGTCTTGAATCATGTTTTTTTTAGAGAACATGCGTGTTCATGCTCATGACATTCTAAAGGTGTTTACCGTGAAAATTAGTAAATAACTGCTGGTCTTTCAAATCGAAAAGTAATTTGGTTACTTACAGGTTCGATCATACTGATCCTAAGACATGTGCTAGTAAATCTTAAAATAAAGTTTCAAAAATAGTGAATAATTCGATAGTATTCATGATCTAAAGTTAACTTTAAAAATTTAAAGAAAGTAAATTGCAGAAATTTAATCAATAAGCAAGTAATTGCATTGAAAAATAATTTGAGCGATAAAGAAGACATGTCGAGCGCCACTTGTCTTATTTTTGTAGGAAGGTCGTTAGGGACAGTTATTTTAATTATTATAAATAAGAAGTCTTAGCGTTAAGATTGTGTGTGTTAAAAGTTGTACAAAAATCACTATAATTACTCAGTACCCGTGTGCAGAGAAAAGAGTGTGTTGCGAAAATGTACTTTTGATGAAACACCATATCTTTACACTTTAATTCGAGTTTTATCTTTTTATCACAAGTTTGTCTTTTTTATCGTTCAAATTATTTTTCAATGCATTTACTTGCTTATTGATTAAATTTCTACAATTTACTTTCTTGGAATTTTTAAAGTTGTTAACTTTAGATCATGAATACTTTCAAAGTATTTTTCCGAACTTTATTTTAAGATTTACTAGCACACGTCCTAGGATCAGTATGACCGATCTTATAAGTAACCAAATCCCTTTTTCGATTTGGAAGACCAGCGGTTGTTTACTAATTTTCATGGTAAACAAATTGGCACGTCCAGTGGAACAGTACTACTAGTTTTCTTTTCAAAATTTCGTTTTTGTTGTTGTTCTCTTGAAAAACTTCGTTGTATGTTATTGAGAAGTGGTAAAGTAGCCACCACTAACGAAGATAAATCAAGGAGAAGATATATGAGGAGAATGGCGAATTCAAATCCTCCAAATGTTTCGATCCTCATAGTTCATCGAGTAACAATGGAGAACCACCCCAAGTATCTTCGACCGGGGGAACAACAGTTCCAGCGATTGTGTTAGAATCAATGTCATCCATGGCAAGTTCGATGTCCACACAGTCGATTATCCATAGTGATCCCATCCTAAATTATACTGGGCCAAGGGGTCCTCAAGTAACCCCTCCACCAATGAGGAATGCTTCGAGTAGGCCCTTCATGCCCCCGGATTTATCTATCCCCTTAGGCGGTCGAGAGCAGCCATATGGAATGCCAACATCCATGATGGTGAACTTGCATAACATCGTCTCAACATTCTCAGAACCAGTAACAAATGTTACTTCACCATTTCAAGGATTAGGATCTGGGATAAACATGGGTCGAAGTAGCAAACCCTTAGGAATTGGTGATTCCACCCAAATGTCAAACTTTACTAATAATTCTACAACGGTTATTAGGCAACAAATGGATGAGAGTAATCACGAAATGGTCCAAATGTTGGCCCAAAAAATGGGGACGATTTTTAATCCCCTAATCCAAAGCACTACTTAATCCAACCAACAAATGACAACGCAGATGACACGCCTTGTGGATTTTTTTGGAGTACCACATCCTCCTCGACATCCACAGATATAATACATATTGGAAAATCAGGGAATAGTCCTCGAAGAAGATACTACCATTAATCAAGTTCAACCAAACCAAAGAGACGCGCCCCATGCAAATCTAGCCAATCCAAGAGTAGCGGTCGAACATCCGGTCGAACCCCTCAGAGCCCAACCTTAAATTCCCATTGAGAGACCAAGGGTAATAATGGTGAATAGGAATCAAAATGTTGATAATGTTGTACAACAGATTTGATGTGATGATATGGCCGTAGATAACAATCTACCAGCCATGGTTGAAAGGATAATGGCGTAAATTGGGTAAACTTTGGTCTTCGAAGACTAAACTATACTTCGCAATTATCAGAGTATATTTTACAATCAGATCTACCTCCTAGATGGAAAGTTCCTAAATTCACTAAATTTTTTAGGGATACCACTGAATCCACTATCGAACATGTGGCTAGGTACTTGATAGAGGTTGAAGAGATTTCGAATAATGAAAATCTTAGGGTAAAATATTTCTCAAGCTCTCTCACAAAAAACACTTTTACATGGTTTACAACCTTGCCACCAAATTCGATTCATAATTGGATTCAGTTAGAAAGATTGTTCCATGAACAGTTTTATACGGGATAAACCAAGATTAGCCTGAAGGAATTGGCCAGTATCAAACAAAAGTTTACTGAGCCAATAGATGATTACTTGAATAAATTCCGTCTACTCAAAGCCAGGTGTTTTACACAAGTTCCAAAACACGAATTGGTCGAAATGGCCGCTGGAGGTCTAGACTATTCTATTAGAAAGAAACTAGACACCAAATACTTGAGAGATATGGTCCAACTGGCTGATAGGGTTCTACAATTAGAACGCTTGAAA